AAAAACATCTACTTCTGCTTCATTGACTATGCTAAAGCCTTTGATTGTGTGGATCACAACAAATTGTGGCAAGTTCTTAAAGAGATGGGAGTACCAGACCATCTTATTTGTCTCTTGAGAAACCTATATGCGGGTCAAGAAGCAACAGTGAGAACTGGACACGGAACCACTGATTGGTTCAAAATTGGGAAAGGAGTCCAGCAAGGCTGTATACTGTCGCCCTGCCTATTTAATTTATATGCAGAGCACATCATGAGAAAGGCAGTGCTAGATGAATCACAAGTTGGAATTAAGATTGCCAGGAGAAATATCAACAACCTAAGATATGCAGATGATACCACTCTAATGGCAGAAAGTGAAGAGGAACTAAAGAGCCTCTTGATGCGGGTGAAGAAGGAGATTGCAAACGTTGGCTTGAAACTCAACATTAAGAAAACCAAGATCATGACATCCGGCCCTCTCAATTCGTGGCAAATAGATGGGGAAGAAATGGAGGTAGTGAAAGATTTTATCTTCCTGGGCTCCAAGATCATTGCAGATGGGGACTGCAGCCAAGAAATTAAAAGACGCTTGCTCCTGGGGAGATAATAATAATAATAATAATAATAATAATAATAATAATAATAATAATAATAATAATAATAATAATAATAATAAATAATGATGATGATGATGATGATGATGATGATGATGATGATGATGATGATAAAGTTGGAAGGGACCTTGGAGGTCATCTAGTCCAACCCCCTGCTCAGGCAGGAAACCCTATACCATTTCGGACAAATGGCTGTCCAGTTTCTTCTTAAAAACTTCCAGTGTTGGTGCGTTCACCGCTTCTGGAGGCAGGTTGTTCCATTGGCTAATTGTTCTAACTGTCAGGAAGTTTCTCCTTAGTTCTAGGTTGCTTCTCTCCTTGATTAGTTTCCATCTGTTGCTTCTTGTCCTGCCTTCAGGCGCTTTGGAGAATAGCTTGACTCCATCTTCTTTGTGGCAGCCCCTGAGATATTGGAACACTGCTATCATGTCCCCCCTCGTCCTTCTCTTCATTAAACTAGACATACCCAATTCCAGCAACCGTTCCTTATATATGTTTTAGCCTCCTAGATTTGCTATGGCAAATCTAGACAGCATACTAAAAAGCAGAGACATCACCCTGCCAACGAAAGTACGTATAGTCAAGGCTATGGTTTTCTCAATTGCAATGTATGCTGTGAAAGTTGGACAATAAGGCTGAGCACCAAAGAATGGAGGCCTTTGAACTATGGTGCTGGAGAAGACTCTTGCGAGTCCCCTGGACTGCAAGGTGATCAATCTGGTCAGTTCTAGAAGAGATCAATGCTGACTGCTCTTTAGAAGGCCAGATCCTGAAGTTGAAACTCAAATACTTTGGCCACCTAATGAGAAGGAAGGACTCACTGGAGAAGAGCCTAATGCTGGGAAAGATTGAGAGCAATAGAAGAAGGGGATGACAGAGAACAAGGTGGCTGGATGGAGTCACTGAAGCAATAGGCATGACCTTAAATGGACTCCAGAAGATGGCAGAGGACAGGAAGGCCTGGAGGAACATTGTCCATGGGGTCGCGATGGGTTGGACACAACTTCGCAACTAACAACAATAATTTGATTGAATTATTGTTTATAATGATGCATATTCCTATAGGTTGGTCTGCCATTCTTCTAAAAAAAGACAATGAATTATGCTGCTTATTTGGAGATATTGAAACTAATGAAGTGGTTTTGATCATTCTGAAAAAAGAGAATTGAAATATTTCATCTTTGTTTTATTAGGAACTAAATCTTGCAATCTATATTAACCATCTTTCCACTGATCAGATTTTCTTTGGTACATTCACCTTCATAAAAACAAAACATTGTAATTCTGCACATAACCTACAGCAGAACAATGGCAGCTGAGTTGTCTAATTGTCTCTTTATGACAGGAACTCGTGAGGCTGCAGTTACAGATAGTCTTGGATGGTAATGTCATGGTCAGTCAAAGACCTTGATGCTGAATGACTCATAAGGCAGATATTTCTGGCTACTCATGTAGCTGCCCCAAAGTAAATATATTAAAGGGTTTCCAGTGTTACTTGATCCCTGAAGCACAGGATGCTCAATTAAGAGTTCTGCTCAAAGATATTAACCCTAAAACACTCTCATTATATCCTGAACGATGACATATTTCTTTCAGATAATTATTTTCAGAGATGCAAAAGGATAATAGTGATAGTTGGGCAGACAGGATTCCTGTGTCATTTGGAGGATTATGATAGGAACATGGTATGCCAGGTTTATGGCTCACTCCAGTTTGTAAAAACAAAACAAAACAAAACAAGGACTCCACATTTGATGAGGTACTATGGCTGAGGAAAGAGAAGAGTGGAATTTTGAGCATCGGACTAAGTGTCAGAGTGGATGATTCCCATTGCGCTATTGCGCTGTTAGGAATGAGCCTAGCCTTAACTAGCCAAGAGTGCAAAATATTTCATTCCTCATTGTTTTAAATATTAAAATATTGCAATATTGTAAAACTGTAAGTGCTAGGAAAGGGAAGAGCTTTCTTCCTCTGGAATTCTATTCACATTTGGCCAAATAGCTCAACTTCTTTATAATGCCCAGCTGGTTCCCTTCTCCAATTTTGCACCATTAGAACTTGTTCAAAATTCTAAGATCAGCCCTTCAAGTTCCAACAATATGTCTTAAAAGCCACTCTGAGACTAGAACTAGACCTCATGAAAGTATAGGCTAGAGTGTGGGTGTCCATACCCAATTATTGGCTCAGACTATTCTTTTTCTCCATTGGCCCTGTCCCATTAACTATGAGGGACCAATTTTAATCCACATGGAAAAAGACAGTGACAACTAAAATATCATCCTTGTGCTTCTCTACAGGTCTTCTACTCATCATGGGATATGATCAGCCAAAATTATCATTAAGCAGCCTGTAGCAAACCAGAGCGCCAATGGGATGTAGTCAGATCCCCCAACCTTTACTGTCAATGATTCCCAATAGGCACTCTTCCTTTCCTGTGATATACTTAACTAAACTCAAAGTACCTGACTACTGGAGGGCCTTTATTGTAGCACCATGGCATGGCCTTCCCACAGCTGTCCTTGAAGGCTGATAAAGGAAGATTTCCTACCAGGAGACAGAATGTCCCTGTGGTGCTGGACAAACAGAAACAACAGATCTTGTGTCTGTGGAGATTCTCAGTCATCCAAGTCATAGTTTCTCAATGGTGCTTTTCCAAAAGGCAACTGGACTGTTTTTTTTCCTTGATGATGATGAAGAAGAATAAGATCCAGCCTCCCATTGGTTCTGGGAGGCTGGATCTTGTGCTTCTCCAGTGCCTACATTAAGAGACATCCATACTAACCTCATCACACCATTACTGTATAAATACAAGTAGTCCTCAACTTACAACCACAAATGAGCCCAAAATGTCTATTGTTAAGGGAAACATTTGTTAAGTGAGTTTTGCTCCATTTCACGACCTTTCTTGCCACAGTTGTTAAGTGAATCATTATAGTTGCTAAATTAGTAACATGGTGGTTAAGTGAACAAAATCCCCATTGCCTTTGCTTGTCAGAAGATTGTAAAAAGTGAACACATGACCCCAGGATAGTGCAACTGTCATAAATATGAGTCACTTGTCAAGTGTCTGAATTTTGATCACACGTTTATGGGAATACTGCAACAGTCGTAAGTGTGAAAAACGGTCATAAGTCACTTTTTTCAGTGCTGTTGTAACTTCGAATGGTCACTAAAAGAACTGTTGTAAGTCGAGGACTACCTGTACACAGGATGCACAGAACAATTTTATACCTTCCAGCTATTTTCAGATTCTGATCCTGCTGCTACATATAATGTTGTCAGGTTCTGTGCAGCAGTTCTCAAAATCCATCAGATAACAACCTGTGCCATAAACTAGTCTTAATAAGCATCCAGTTCAGTGGTGGGGTTCAGCCAGTTCGCACCACTTCGGCAGAACCGGTAGCTAATTTTTTGTTGCCCAGGCCCAGAACGGACTTCCGGAAGCGGCATCCAGACAGAGAACCGGTTGTTCACAT